GGGGGAGGGGCAGAGGGAGAAGGAGATGCAGACTCCCCACTGAGCAGGGAGCCCTACTTGGGGCTCGATCCCAGGACCTGGAGATGGTGACCTGAGCCTAAGGCAGACTTAACCAACTGAGCCACCCAGGTGCCCCTGATCATTTCAGTTTTGAATGAAATTTGTTTCAGTAAATTTCCTATGAATAGTCATTTATCTTCATATTGAGGCCACTGAGAATTATATGAATATTGATAATTGCCAAATTAGTTTAGGGGTAGAGGAGTTTTGCTGTGGATCTGATCCCACTCTGAAGTCCCTGCTGATGAAACTCCATTCTGCTTCATATTATCTATCTTCTTACCGTTTTTTTAGAAATCTTCTGGGGTGGGGCACCTGGGTGGCTCAGTTGGTTGAGTGTCCAACTCTTGGTTTCCGCTTGGGTCATGACCTCAGGGTCATGAGATCAAGACTTCGCTTCCCCCCCACACCCCCCTTGGGCTCTGTGCTCAGCGTGGAGTCTGCTTGAGATTCTCTTCCTCTTCGTCTGCCCCTCCCCTGGCTTTTGAGTGCATGCGTTTTCTCTCTCTCAATCTCAAATAAATAAATAAATCTAAAAAAAAAAAAAGAAATCTCCTGGGACTGATGTACACATTCTTAGGAATATAGTCTCCTTCATCTTTGGGGTATCATTTTCTTCTATTTCTAAGCTGGCTATGAGAGGCAAGGACTCCCCAGTGGCCATAATGCCTCTAATGTTTGCCAGGACTGATCAGCTTGAGCTTCAGGGCAGGATCTGGCCTTGCAGCCTCTCCTTGTCTTACCCCAGGGGACAAAGTGCCCCTAAAACTCCCTCCCCCTTCCTTGTGTTATACTCTGATACACAAGCATGAGAGCTGTGCTAGTTTAAAGTATTTTTTAATGAGACAGCTCCTTCTTTTAAATTCCTTGGTTTTTAACCTCAGCTCTTTTCAGTGGTATGGCTAGAGACTGGCTTGCCAGGTGAGGGCTTGAACTCAGCCATGGGTGGGAGTTTGCACACCACGGAAATCAGCAAATGCTACAATGCGACTTTTTTTTTTCTTTCCTTAGAGAGCCATTTACCAGCACTCCACTGGCTCTTTCCCTCCTTCTCATCCCCTCTCTCCAAGAATGGCACGTGACCAGGGAAATGGGAAAATAATTTGGCTGATAGGATAATACATTTTTCCAGTCCTGTCTGCACCTTAGGCCTAAATCTCTTTCCTTAGGGGCCTCCCTTCGCAGAAGGCTCCTAGGCTTTAATGAAAACAGAGTCCCTGTGGACTCCCTCTTACCCCAGCAAAGGGCCTACACCCTCTCCACCCCATACATGGAATGCACACAATGCTGGCTGTAAATCTGATCCTTCTAGACTCCTGCTTCCCTCAGGGAGATAGAGACAGGGGCCTCTTTGTGTACTACCATCCCCAAACACATACCTTCCCATTTTCCAGATATGCCTCAAGAATGCACAACTGGAGATTTCTTCGTTCTTTTTAAAAATACTTACAACAATTTGCACTATTTATTTTATATGTACTGTACAGTACACAGCAAGTTCATGCTTCTCCTCAATGGCAAGTAGTCGAAATCTGGACACTTTTGACTTAAGTAGTACAGTACACAGGGCATCTGGGCTCGTAACCGCTACAGCAGCCATAAGGGTTTGCATATTCCAAAAATCAAAATCAGTTTGATCAATGTCTTGGTAGGGTTTCATGTTTTCAGTAAACTTTTTGAACAGACTCTCTGTGCCAGGTGCTGTGCTATGCTCCAGTCTTGGGGACGATGTAGACACAGAATCAAACTGCTATAATGCGATGTGTAAGGACCCATGCACAGGAAGGTGCACCATGAACCCCATGTTAAAGAATGGGCAATAATTTACCTGGGAAACAGGACAAGAAAGTACACTAAAGTCTGTGCAAAATGGCTCCAGCCACTGTTTAACTTCAACAGCTCAAAGCTGTTTCCACACTCTTCAAAAGGAGCAGGTCTAGATGAAACACGCATAATCAGTGTGGACCGTTAATTGTCCCCCTCATATTCCCAGCATTGGTGCCATTGTCAGTGAAGACCTGATTGGAGCCCCTGGCTATTTTTTTCCCTTCTGTATATGGAGCTGAGGCAAAAGAGACGACCTAGTTTGTGTTCTAATAACCTTCTGTGAGGCGTGATATATAGTCATATTGCTACCTCTTAGGTTTCTTTGTTTTTCAAAATTATAGTTCCTAACTTTTCAAAATTACCCTTCACAGACATTTTTTTTCTTTTAAGATGAAAAGTGGACTTTACTTCAGCCTGACATTAGGATTGCTCATATAGTCTACATTTAAAAGAAATGTATTTCTTTCAAAATAAGTTTTTCAGAAATCTGTGACTGTCAAAGTACAATGTGGTAAGAACTCTCACACATGGTGTAATAAACTCTTCTGGGACATTGTGGAGAAGCATTTGGATCAGGATGTCAATGTCCTGCCTAGTTAGAGTGGAAATACTTCATGTAGAATAGTACATTTTTTTTTTTTAGTGATATATTTCTGAAAGATGGTCTTCAAACAGTACAAGCATTCTTTGTTCTCTTTTCCTTAATGATTTTGGAAGAACAAATTGTTTATGTATATAGGCCAAGTATGTTTTCTTATCATGCATTGTTTTAAGCACTAATTATCCTTTAGTTACTTGGCTTTATTCCTTCCAGGACGGATTTCTTGTCAACAAAAAAACAAGTGTTAATTCAGATCATTTTGGAAATGTCCTAAAAGTCATTCAAAATATCTTGAGTAGGTTTAACACATCATACAGAACTGTTCAGAAAGTCTTTATCATTAACTAATGACTCATTTTCTTTGGATTTACAAAGAACAGAGTCAAATAGGTGACTTCAGAGCTCTTATATTTGTAAAGTCTTATTTCTGTTATTTCTGGAGGAACTATAACTTCAAAAAAACCCTCCTACCCAGAAAACTACATATTCATAGCCTGTGTAGAATCTTACAGTAAAAATTATAGGTAGATGTGGGTGCAGGCATTTAGCAAATGACCTCCTTCTTGGAGGACAACCCAGAGGAAATGAGCTACAAGGTACCCTAGCAAGTCTTCAAGTTTGAAGGGTGATTATGTACATATATTTGACCATAGCTTATTAGCTTTCTTAAGATTTTAAAAGGAAATGATTTTTAAACAGCAGTTGACAAAAGATCCAACTGACTTATAAAGAGAAGCAGATGGTGAGGATCATGAAACATTGGATTGTATTTCTGTGGGAGACTGCAGAATCAGCTACTTGGGAGACTTTAAAAGAAGAATTTATGTCCTTTTAGTAATGGCATTAACAATGGTAGAGTGACTAGGGGTGGTCTTTCAGGAGACAGGGAAGAGCAGAGTGACCAGGGTTGCTTCCATGTTGAAATTTTATGACATATGAATCTATTTTTCTTAAAACTGTTCAGAACAAGGCTCAAGGCCCCGGATTTTCAATTTATTAACAGGCTTATACAAATTTATTTGGTTACGTCTCACAACAGTTAGCAAGCTTAAGCAAGGAGGAAATCTGGAAATTATTCTCAAGTTAGGGGTCACATCTTGTACACATTGGTTTCTGAACCTGAAGTTTCTATGTGAACTTCAGCAGGACCATAAATGTTGCCGATGGAGAAAGTGCTATGACCCAATTTCTCTGTACACATGTACCATTTACTTTACAACCTCAAAGCCTGATAAATAGGGAAAGTTCCATCCTGTTTTCTGGGTTGGCAATGTTTGCCATGCAGGTAGGATACACGCAGGTGGAATTTCATCCGGTGCTAAATCAGAGCATTCTGAAAAACTTGGGGCCTTGCAAAAGGCCATATCTCAAAGAAGTTACTGCTTCAAATAAATGTGCCATTTTATAAAAATTACACCTACTGTATCAGAAAAAATGTTCTTTCATGTGAGTGACATTTATATGACTGCCATTTATAGGGAATAGGACATTCTCACATAGCACGGCTGAAGAATGGTTTTGAAAGCTGAGAATATTCTCTGAATGATAAATGTGGTAGAAGTCTAAGATACTTGTGTGGGAAGAGATGCTCCACAACTGGGTAGTATCCCTATAAAAATGAAACTTGCATTATTATGAAGAAAGCAATTACTTGGTTATGCTTATTGCATTAATGAGATTTTCAATAGATTTCAAACCAGCAAGCGTATTTGGTCATGGATTTTCACCTTGTCAGAGTTAGAGTGTTGGACCTTGTGGATCATCTGGTCCAGTAGCCTTTTATTTTACATATGTGGAAACGGAGGGTGAGGTGGTGAGCTGCTAGTTAGAACTAGGAGTAGAATTCTCCAACTTCCTCGCCAATTCACCTTCATTACACGGGTCATCTTTTTAAAAAGTTCCTACATTACCATCAGGAGGGAAAAAAAATTTTTTTTCTAGCTGCCTCTGGACAAACAGGGAAACCAGACTATGTTTATTCTTCACAATAAATTACATTTCAAACAATATTTCTCTGGAAAAGCAATCGCGAAATTACACAAGGAAATTTAAATCAAGGTCAAGGACCGAAGGGGTTGCAGGTCTCAGGACAAATTTCATCTCTTGGTGAAGGTCTGAGACTGCAGAGATTGCCAAAACCTCATTCTTCCAGGCTCCCTTCACGGTGAGCCTCACAAGATTGCTCTCGTCGAGAATTAAGGGACAGAGAGGAATACAAACCCTAAGTCTTCCACCTTCGGGGTTCTCTGCACCCTCGAGAAGACAGGAGCGATAAAACTCCAGGAAGCTAGATGCTTGTTGAATTGCTTAACTGATCGCGCGACACCCTTGGATGGCCTTTCCTGGAGAGGGGCGCGGGGGTGCGGCGGGGAGTTTGCCTGCACCTCCTTGCTGGTGCGAGCTGGCGGGGGAGTGAGGTCCTGGAAGCGGGGGCTCAAGCTGGGCTGAAGCGGATAAGGCAGCGGGGCAGCGTGGCGAAAGGTACGAGGCAATAGCCGGCGACGGGACCCACCTGCTGGGAAGTGCTTGGGAGGCGAGGCGGCCACGGTCAGCTGCAGCTCCGCTCGGGGCTGCGGGTGGCGCCTCTCGCGGGTATAAGAGGCCGGAGAGAGCGGAGGGGAGGGCCCGCTAGATTTCGCAAGATGAGCGGTGAAGAAAGCGTTTTCCGGAAGAGTTCAAACTGGGAATCCCGGGCAACTGGAAGAACCAAAACTTCCGGTGCTCTACCGCGACGGTTGCTGCAGATGTTGTTGAATGGTATCAGCCTGCGGGAGTTTTCAAGGGTTTTTCCCCAGAGTCCTTGGAATCTGTGCATTCCAGGCAGATGGAATTTTAGAGAGGCTGGGGAGGATCCCTCTCTTGAAGGAGTCAGACAGCTCTGAGTGGCTGAGAAGACACTACCTGGTCTAGGCTTCGAGGCATTTCTCCGGTTGCCATTTTGTCTCAGTTCAGCCTAAGAGGTTGACATCTTTCTCCCTCTGTCTGGAAGCCTGGGGTTCTCCTGGGCCCCATAACAGGTGATCTTGAATTTGGAGATTTTAATTTAGGTAGATTAAATCAAAAGAAGCCAAACGAAAGGCAGGGATAATGACGCGGATACCTTATTGTTGATATATATCTATATAATATTGAATAACAGTATATATAATTATGCAATTGGATTGATATGTCTTTCTGTATAGGAGAAGCTCAAAAGCTATAGCTATAAGGGGTTTAGAGATTTAATTCATCCTGATAACCTATGGGGCAAAGCACCTCTGCCCTCTCAAACTCTGCAGTGTAGAACCTGGAGTCCTCCCAGTCTGGCTCTTGCCCAGCCATCAGGTCTTAAGTTCCATGGCATACTTGCCAAGACCCAGATGTTCAGCCACATGGAGGCCTGTTCCCAGCACTTTTGAGCCAACCCTTCCTTTGCCTGAATTGCAGCTCTCCCCAGAGTATCTTGTGGTGTTAGCTCAGACCTCACATCTTCCAAGAAGACTTCTCTGAGCCTCTCCTTGCAATTAAACTTTCCTTTCTCCGTACAGTGTAGTTGATACTTCCAATACAGCAGTTAGGACGGCTTGCCTCTTGAGAAAGTTATTGTGTCTATATGTCCTCTCCTGGACAGCAAGCTCGGGGGCTGACACCCTATCCTTTTCAGCCTGGGATTCTCCACCACACCTAGCACAGTGCTTTGCTTATAATAGGTACTCAGTATTTATAGCACTCATTAATAAACCTACTGTCAATTATATTTTGTAAAATGTTCATCTGATAGTATTCTTTGGACAAGGAAGAACTTAAAAAGGTATTCATTGATGTTACAGCATCAATTTTTCCAGCTTGAAGACTGACAAGGTGGGAGAAAGGGGTGCAACTAGGAAAGAAGGCCTCCTGGTGTGTGCCTTAGAGGACTCATGGTTGAGCAACAGGGTTTGGGTGACTTGCTCCTGGGCTAGCATCTGGCTTTAAGCCTTGTGGGCACAGAAACTTGATTCTTAGCACACTGAACTTGACACTTACAACCAGAATGCTGATCTGTTAGTTGTCAGTGGAATATAAAGGAAATAATTACTGTGAAAATACAGTTGCTGAGGGCACCGAACGTTCTAGCCATCACATTCTTTCCCTGGAGACACGTCCTGAGGAAGCCATTTGATGCAGAAGTCTGCTCTATCAATGGGGGAGTGAGTTATCAGATCCCAAGGTCGCTGGCATCTAGCCATCCACCACTGACACCATGGTGACATATCTGCCATCAGGAGCATGTAGCTGGGTCTATGGACCAGGTCACTCTGGTTTCTGAGTGGTGTTTGGATCCATAATGAGTTGACATATGGCCAATCATATTCCCAAATGCAGCCTCCAACTAATAACAGAATCATTGCTTTTATACTTATTTTCAGGTGGGCAAAAAATTTTAAAAACCCAATTTTTATGAGAAGCAGATATATTTCAGTTATGTAAGCTCTTTTCTTTGCCAAAGGCAACCAGAGTCCCAGAAAGGGAAGATGAAATTACTAGAATATGAAGGATAGAAGAAATTGTCTTTATTAGTACTAAACTTAAGAGGTGCTTGACTTATTTATCTTGCGGTTTAAAGATTGGATTTTTCCTTTGGTCCTAGGAGGGACACAAAATTCATAACTCTTCTAGTCTTTCCTTAAACCCTTATTGTCAGGAAAATTAAACTTTCAAAGATGCCAGCAACCTGAAGACCCAAGGCTTTGCTGTTGGCAGAATTCATCCTTCTCCTGAAAGCTTATCATCAGAACTCCAGGTAAGCTTTCCCAGATGTTTCGCACACCCAAACATTCCTGTTTAGAAATGTCCACGTTTACTCTGCCCTGAGTCTCTTCCCCCATGTCCTCCCTTGCCAGCCTGCTCTCTCCATTTCTCTATGTGGCAGAACTTGGGAAAACTGATGAAGTAGGCCTAGTGCCAGTATTAAATGATTGAATGAAAGTATGCCTTTAACCTTGTATCTCCTTTTCTTTGTCATTTTTCTCCTCTTAAGGGGCTGTTTTCTGTGCCGGTCTCGACCACTCCTCCCTCTTCCCCAAGGCCTTTCCTTACAGTGCATCACATATTATCAAGGGGGCTGGCTCTAGAGGTGACTAACTTGATAGTCTATAGTTAGCATGTATTTGGGAAACTCTAGTTGACTTAAACATTTGCCCTCTAGGTGTTTTTGAAAAACAAAACAAAACTGAGGGATTTCTGGAGATGTCTGGCTTATCCAAAGAAATAAATCTCTAACGGAGAGGGGGATGGATTTCAGGCACTCTGGGAGATATTTTTGAATATGGGTATAATGAGTATTTTGTCTTTTGCTTACCTAGCATCCAAGGTCAGGACTATGGTGAGATGAGTGGGGAGCCTAGGGCACAACATTTGAGGAGGGGCTCACTCTCAAATAGACCCCCATGAACCAGGAAGTGAGGCCTCTTGGTGATCCAGTGACTTCCTCTTGTCCTACCCTTGCAGAATCCATTTCTCTTTATGCTAATCATATCTTTATTTTCCTTTGAAACACACCCTTGCACAATCTCAGTCCCTGTGGTTCAGGTGGAAGTGACAGCACTGGGAGGGGGGTTGGGTGGTGTCAGTTTCAGAAATAGACATATGACCTAGACCTGGCCAATCAAAGCACACAGCCTTGTCCACAGTGATTGGTTCAGTGATGACATGTGACCTAGGCCTGGCCAATAGGTATCTTTCCTGGAACAACTCAGAAGGAAGCATGTTCTTTTTTTTTTTTTTTTTTTGGTATACGTGCTGCCAAAGCCAGCACTGGAAGCATGTTCTTTACAGAAGGTTGTGGAGCTGCTTGAAGGTAAACCTAGGGCATTGTGAGGAGAGAGTGAGCCTGAGAAAGAAGCCAGTCAAGACAAAGGAGGGTGAGGAAGTGAGAAGGAACAGATTTCTGAAGTTGTTGGAACTCTACACCTGAAGAGGGTTCTCCACCCTGGGCTTTTGAGTTCCTCGTGTGGGTAATTGTGTGTTATCTATACCGTCCTGCCTAACGAAGTGGGACTGGGTGGGATGAGAAGGGCATCTGCTCAGTCTCGCTTCTCCAGTCAGACTGCCTCCTAAGGTGGCTTCATCACTCTGTGCAGCCAGAATGAGGGTAATATTTGTTTGGGGGAAAAACTATTTTTTTTTTTTTTTTGGTAGCAGATTTGGGACATGAGTGAATAATCTCTGGCTGAGGTTTCTCAGCTACTTTTTGGTAGATTTGGAAATTTAATTTCTTGTTCCAACCAACTTCTTTTTCTACTTCTTTCCTGCTCTCCTGGGCTAATAGAGCCACCTTCTCTCCCCTCCAAAGCATGAAACTGCAAAGGGCCAAAACCAGGTTCATGACCTGAATTTATTTACTGTACCAATCTCTAGGATTCCTGCCAACAAAGAACAGGAAGCAAAACCCAACAACATTTAGCCACCCACCTGTTACCCAAAAAAGCTCTGATGGGAAAATATGCCAGACACTGACAATATTGGAAACTGGGCTAGGTGATGATGTCAGGAATGATAATAAAGAATTTAAAAATAAAACATGCCCTAAAGACCCTAATTCTGTCACTAGAAATTCAAGAGAAGGTAAAAGTGGAAGAGTTGAGTGTGTGAGATGTTCTTTAAAAAGTCACTGACTAGAGGCACCTGGGTGGCGCAGTCGCTAAGCGTCTGCCTTCGGCTCAGGTCATGATCCCAGGGTCCTGGAATCGAGCCCCACATCGGGCTCCCTGCTGGGTGGGAAGCCTGCTTCTCCCTCTCCCACTCCCCCTGCTTGTGTTCCTGCTCTTGCTATCTCTGTCAAATAAATAAATAAAATCTTAAAAAAAAGTCACCGACTAGAGGTAAAGGGCAGTTACTTCTGGGATTTGGAAATGGGGAAGGAATCCCTGTCCACTTTGTCTGAGTCTCTGACTCTCTGAGTTGCAAGATCTGTGGTGCTTTGGCAGATTTCCCCAAGAGAAATCTGGATGTGGCCCAGGCCACACCTGCTAATCTCAGAGGAGGTCACTTGGCCATGATACTATCAAAGAACAAGATCTTCAGGGGCGCCTGGGTGGCTCAGTTGGTTGAGCATCCAACTCTTGATTTCGGCTCAGGTCATGATCTCAGGGTCCTGGGCTCGAGCCCTGCCTTGGGCTCTGTGCTCAGCTCAGAGTTTGCTTGTCCCTCTCCCCCCACTAGCACAAACACTCTCTCTCTCTAAATTATATATATATATATATATATATATATTTTTTTTTTTAAAGAACAAGATCATCAAAGCCTGAAGAGATGAAGAAATATTGAAGTGGAGTTAATGTTTTGGTAAATGCAATTTTTGATAAATGATACATGTTTTGATAAATTAAAGGAGATATTGTTTTGGTAATTCAAAAACTGAAAATAAGCTGTATCTCAGCCTCCTGGTAAAGAAGCTGATTGTCAAGTTGCTGGGAGAGTCATGTTTCAACAGTGGGTGGTGGCTCCTGTTAGTACTGGAGATATTGGTAAAGGTCAATCCAGTACGGCGAGCTAATCTGTGCCTGATGCCAGTGAGGAAGGTTAGTTGAACTGTTGAATTGTCATATACTGAGGAGGAGACAAAAAAAAAAAAAGAAAAAGAAAAACAAAGAAAAGGGTGAGTGTAGCTTAATCCATTGTTCTGTTCAAACAGAATTTGCAATGAAATGAGTGTAAAGCAGCTCGCAGGAGGAAAAGAACAAGAATAATGAAAGTATGAGGCCATTTTTTTTCCTGCATACTTTTGACTGTTTATAAAGATCAGTTACTTGCTAAGAGTTATTTTTCTTCCTTGACTTGCCTGAAAAATAACTATAAAACTTTATCATGCTGGTGAGGAAATGCCAAACACAGATGATTTGTTTTATATGTATAGATTATTTGCCAAACAATTGATTTCACTACTGTAGATTGTTTTTGGGTATGTAAAACTTCATTTGAAAGGATTAATTAAAATATTTGAAAAATTGATGCACAGGTGCGAAATTCAAGATTTTAAAGCAGTGCATAAGGAAGCATTTCCCCCCAGACATTGAGTTCTCCTGCCCGGAGGCAACCCTGTTGATGATTTATTGGATTCCTTTCATAGACAAACTATGCATATGAAAACATGTCTATTTAGTCTTAAAAAAATCCAAGTGGCAGCCTCCTAGTTACATTCTACGCCTTGCTTTTTTTCACTTAACAATGCAACTTAGAGATCATTCAGAAAGAGCAGTCAAGGCAGGCCTATTTGAATTTACGTCCCTACATGCCCAGCCCAGCTCCCTTTCCTTGATCCCCCCCTTTCTCTGCTTCGTTTCCATAGCTCTCACTACTTTCTACTGCATTATAATTGAATGATTCACTATGTTTATTGTTTGTCTTTCCCCTGGATTGCTGGGGCCATGGGGACAAAAAATTTTTGTGCCGTTTGTGGTCTGCTGTGTATGTAACACCTAGAATGGTGACTGGCACAGAGCAGGGTCTCCATAAATATTGTTGAATGAATGAATGAATGAATGAATGGATGAGTATTTCAAAGGAAAAATAATGCATTGGTAGAAACCCATAGAGAAATATGTAGAAATTGAAGATCTTTGAAAACATTCATGTAAAAACTGTATGGATGTGATTAAACCTCTTCACCAGCGGAAGCGGAAAGCTCAAGTAACTGGCTCTGTTGATTGCCAAACATTTTTGTGCTAAAATCGTTCAGAAAAGGCCAATGCCTCTGGCTCCTTATCTCTTGCTATTCCCGGGGTTCTGCTTCACCCTCCCCAGACTTCTTTTTCAGCTATAACCTTTTCATTTAATTACTTTCCTCCCAGCTCTGTATCTCCTATGTCTGCAGTAGCATTTTGTGAAAATGTAATGGAGTTCTGTGTCTTTTTTCTGAAAGCAAATTTGTAGTGAGATATCTCACTAAGTCCCAGCAGTTAGCACTTGTAAACAGGCTGTGGGAGGATGTCCAGCATTCATTATAGAAAACGAAGGAGAGCCTACCCTCTTTGCGTTTGGGGACCATACAGGAGGCACTGAAAGGGTTTGGATTCGTCAAAACAGTCCCCTGTGTTTTTATATAACGATTGCAGGAAAAAGGGCTGTTGGACAGATGCTTTCAAATGGCCTAAGTAAAAAAAATATTTAGAATCATTAAAAAAAAAAAATGAGGTGGAGGGAAACAAAATACCTTGTTCTCCTGGTCCCCTTTAGGTAGATCTCTGATTTGGTGGGGCTAGTGGCTATTTGGAATATTCTTAATTTGTGCTTTCTTGCATTTTGTAAAGCAGTGATTACCTAATGGATTTGATACATGAGGAAGACCACACGGAAAAGCATACTTGGAGGCGGTGGAGGGGTAGGTTATAATTTTTTATGTCATTCAAATATGAATTACTTAAAACCCTAGATCAGAACTATTTTAACTTTGAACTTAAATCCAGGGCCATTCCTATCTTAATGGCTATTCCTTAAGAAGAAAGCAAGAGATATATTTTAATTAAATACTAGAAATTTAAATAGAGAAGTTTGTCAAATCTTGTCAAAATCCACTTGCTAGAAATAAAGCCTTATTATTTTTTGGAGAGATTGACATCTTTCAATCCTGGTGCCCTTCTCCCCTTCAAAGAATAAAACCTTATTTGACCAGAGGGAAGGAAGGAAGCCAAGTAAAGGTCACCTAAGAAACCCAAAAAGATTCAGTCAAGTTCATTGACTTTAACTGTAGCGCCATTAGGACTCTGTAGAGAGCAAAATGGAGTCTCTCATGTCAAGCAGGGGCCTGTGTCAAGCAATGACGCAAGCAATTTACGTATTGTAGCTAGGAGATATCCCCAGGACCAGTGTCAGCTGACACCCCAGAACTGGGATAATGAGCAGAACCAGAGGAGGTCTGCGGGGGCCTGAGATCCATTAAATCCCTTTAGAAAGGAGAGGATTTGGGTAGCAAACTGTCAGACTCTTCAGACATGACCCCTCTATGTTTGACCACTTTAAAAAGGCAACTGCGGCTGAAGGCTCTGCCTGATGGATCTCCAAACAGAACCAGGATTCTTCGCTGCTTGAACATCAGAAGCGGTCAGTGCCAAGAGCTGACCCAGACCCGACCGAGGTCTCATCTTAGCTGTGTGCCCACAGACTGACTTTGCATGTGGTTCATTAACTTCCTGCACCCTTCTGTTATCTTGTGTGTTTGGGGTTTGTCTTCTGTCCTGCTCCGTGTGCTGTGTGAGAAGCCAAGTTTAATCACATGGTGAGATGTCATTGAATCTGGAATCCTGAACCTGCTTTATAATTGTGATTTAACTTTGCTTTACAATTGAACACAGCTGACACTGTGGAAAGACACAACTCGTGTGTGCGCCTTCATAGCGTGCTCATGACAGACCTCCTCACTCAGGGACATTTTAGTGAATTCTAAGAAGTCCAGGTTCGAGGCTACTATGCCTGAAAGGGAAAAAGGAAGAGACAGGAAAACTCTAAAAAACAGCCTCAAGGGCTCCAAGTACAACTGTCTGGGATACTTTTTGTAGGAACAAAACAATCAGGAAATGCTAAGGGAATTACCATATATGTCATAATATGTTGATCTTTATATTAATAGCCCTATTATGACAAGAAACATTATGTTTAGTGTGCTTCAATCATACAAAGAATGGTATAAAAACTATTTTAATGGCATTTCTAAACAAAATGTTTGTCATAAAGTCAGTTTTTTTTTTAAAAAGATCTTATTTATTTATTTGTTGGGTGGGGGTGGGGGGGAGAGAGAGAGAGAGAGAGAGAGAGAGAGAATAAGCAGGGGGAGTGGCAGTGGCAGGCAGAGAGAGAGGCAGGCTCCCTGCTGAGCAAGGAGCCCAATGTGGGACTCGATCCTAGGACCCTGGGATCATGACCTGAGGCAAAGGCAGATGCTTAACCGACTGAGCCACCCAGGTGTCCCATAAAGTCAGTCTTTTATACTGACCCACCCTCCTTCCCGAGAAACCACTCATAGTCAAGCATATCCACCTTTTCATAACTAATAATTGCCACACTTTCATTTCACAACTCTCATTTTCTCATCATGACCTCCATCCAGTCCATTCACCTAGTCTGTCCCACCCTTGCTGGCTTCTAACTTCATTTCCTGCTCTTATTTATTTTTCTATTTGTCACTTGCTCTTGCTTCCCCCATCTTTTCCCTTCTCTTACCCAACTGAGATTCCATATACTACTATGACTCTTTTCTTGCAAATGCTTTTTGATTTCCTTGGGTATCTCTTTGTGCATTTCCCTTATCTGGCAAAATCTCAACCTTGGTTTCCCCCAGCTAACTGCCTACTTTGCACCTCCACTCAAAGCAGCTAAGTGTTGCTGGAGAAAATCACACAGTTGTGCCGGCTGGAGTCATTTCAAAACCATGACCACACATGGCACATTACACTAAGTGACATCCTACTGTACCTGGCAAGCGTAGTCAATGCCTAACTCTCTGAAATGACTCCTTAAATCTCCACTTCTCTTCCCCACTCAGTCAGATGTTATGAAGTCACCATGATCTAATTTTCCTACCTCCAGTTCTAAGAGCCCACCATATTCATCCTCACACACTCTGCCGGGTCTTTTTGCCCTTGAGGCCATTTTCCACAGGTATGCTCTGGATCCCACCCCATGCTACCTGCATAAAGACCACTCCTCCAATTATCTTCTTCCTTTTCCCTGTCTTCAGTCCCTCCCTGTCCACTGGATTGTAGCTGATAGCGTTCAAGTAATGACTTCATACACTAACCTTGAGCATTTTTTCCCATTGTGGGATGTTTGTATGTTGTAGTTACTATGGCTTCTGCTTGGAAAGGTCTTAGCTCAGAGCTACAAGTGACTGCCTCATTGTTCTGGTCTCAGCTCAGCTTTTCTTCTTGTTGCCTTTAATGACCTTAGCTCCGATTAGCTCTCCCATCCACCACCGTTCAGGTAAGCACTGTATGTCGCATTACATAGTTTTATTTTCCTCATGGTACATATCACCTGAAAGTATCTAACTCTTTATTGATATATTTATGTGTTTCTTTTCCCACTGGAGTGTAAACTTGTTGAAGGCCAGGGACCGTTTCTTCTTCATTACTGTGTTACTATATTGCTGGAGAACAGTTACTGGCATTCAGTAGGTGCTCAATAAATACTGACTGATGGATTGATTGGATTGACTACTTAAAGGTAGTAATTACAATAATTTGGAAGACATTGTTCCCCTGGGTCCTTTCTGGAAAGGTGGGGTTAATCTGTTGAGTAAGTCTAAGGACTGTAAATCTACCAAGGACTGTATAGTATCAATAAGTAGGTGAACAAATTGGTAAAATATTTACACCTTTGAATGCATACTTCTAGGTTTAGGTGACAGTATTCTTTCTATTTTGAAGACATGGAAAATATTCATGAAGTTATATATGTGGACAAAGGCCATATCACCATGCCTTGGCACCTAGCTTTCAAAGTCTTAGGATATATAAAGGGTGTTGAATCCAAATAAGAATTTCCATATTTGGGCATCAAGCAGTCTCCCTTTTCTGAATGCAAGTATAAGTTGGTCTACCCAGCTCAGATACCATTTTTCTTAGTACCTCATTAAGAGTCTTTTTCCCCACTTTTTTATGACTTTATGTAAACATAAAAGTCTTAGTTTAGCAGAGTTGGCTACATACCACTAGATGAACTATAAATTTTTGAAAACTCACAAAGTGCTAATTTGAGAACAAATATAGACAGCATATCTTAAACAATTCAGTCATAGCTCCAACATGGGGTGGGTGATACTCAGCCTATTTCCTTCAAGAACGAGGAACACCCTTAGGCAGCAGTGACTAAGGAGACATCTGTCTTCATCCTGTTTTTCCATCCTACACTAGCCCACACCTTCCAGGACTGGCCTGGGCACAGCTCATTTCAGAGATGATTACCGGGAGTTTCTGGTTTGTGTCTATAATTTCTCAAAGTTAAGTCCCTAAAATATCTTAACTTTCTGTTTCAACTACACAGTCTGCACCAACTCTATTTCAGTTCTGTAGCTACATATACTCCCTGTGTTTATTGTTCAGATCTGCAGTGCTAAGAATTTATGATGTGCAGTTTTTTAAAAATACAGAAGTATCTACTGAGACTGTGTGTAAGGAAAAAAATGCTTTATACTTTGTGTATTTCCTGTCATCATCCACCAAAAGCCTCAGTAGCTAGCATGTATGAAATTTTAAGATTCTCTGATGTAGTAAGTTGAATTGGTGTCCCCCTGAAAGATATATCCCAGCCCTCAGCCCTGTGAGTCCCCTGCGAATGTGAACTTCTTTGGAAAGTGGGTCTTTGCCGATGTAATTAAGGATCTTGAGATGAGATCATCCTGGATTTAGGGTGGGCTCTAAATCCAATAACCTGTGTCCTTGTAAGAGAATGGTTTAGAGACACGGAGAAAAAGGCCAGATGAAGACAGAAGCAGACCCAAGCAAAGGGATGTTATGCAGACCCAAGTGAAGGGATGCCAAGGGTTGCTGTGAGAAAGGCCTGGAACAGGTTCTTCCTCAGAGCTTCCAGAGGGAGCCGATCCTATTGAAACCTTGATTTTCACCTTCTGGCCTCCAGAACTGTGAGATAATAAATTTTTGTTTTTTTATGCCACCAGTCCTATGGTAACTTGTCATGGCAGCTCTAGGAAATTGATACACTTGGTTTTAGGTGGGAAAATAACAGATTCTTGGCTTGAGTAATGCCATGAAAATCCTCACCTATTACTGATTATTTCTTCTTTTATGGTTATTTCCTGTCTCATAGATCATCAGTTGCCCACTTTTGCTGAGATACCGTATTAGTTAAAGTGGTTGCTCCTAACCTTTGCGATAAAGACAACCCAATACCAACAACAATCAACCAACCAAGTAAATAAAAAGAAATCTGTACTTCTGTGGCTTTGCTTTGTAAGTATTTCATGTATATTATTATAAACACTACAATTAGCATGCATTTTAAAATATTTTAATGAACAATGCCTAACTTAGAATTTTGGTGAAATGAACCTTTCTTCTCTTAGAATTTTAATCAAAATATTGCAGAGAGAAATATACTTAGCAACATGATCTTGGATAGTTAAGATTGTCATATGCAAATTATGGGTTTTCGGGACACAGAGAGTAAATCATGTGAGGCTGGAATACCTGAAAGAACACCACTGTGCTCATCCTTCTTCAGGGCCCTTCCAGGAGCCGGTTTAGTGGTAAAGTGAATTTCTCGGATGTTGCTTGTCAGAGGGTATCAGAGATTCTCTGCATCTGTGGACTTCAATCTTTCCTGTGCTGGCTGCAGTCACAGTTGTGGGTCTTTGCTGTCTGATCACTCATTGACGTCCAAATAGTTCTAGAAGGTAAAAAGCTTGTGTTTATTTTGGTAATAATTGCAGTTGGTGAACACCAATTATATGTGTTCTATTTATAAAAGGGACAACCAAGGGTTCTTAACCTGGAGTCTGTGAATTCAGGTTCGCAGCAAAAATTCTCTATTTTTATGAAACCCAAACTGAAACTCAATTGTAATTCAATTTCGGTTGCTTTTGTAAACTTACTTACGCATTTATCAATTTTATTCTGAGAAGGGGCCCATGGGCTTCACCAGAATGCCAAAGAGGTCGATGGCACAGGGAATTTAAGAACCCTTGCATTAGTTCTTAGAAAGACAACAAGGGTCTGAGGCCCCTAAATCATTTGCTTCTGCAGGCCTAGGTTATTTAGCACAGTTCCCTTCAAGGGCATCGATAAATGGCAGCAAGTAACATTCCAATTTTCCAAAAATGACTAAGCTCTTTTTCTTTTTAGTTACTTGACATTTTATTTACATCGTGCGTACCAGCTTTTTTTTTTTTTTTTTTTTTTTACATCGTGCATACTTTTTTTTTTTTTTTTTTTTTTTTTGACATCGCACTGAGCATGTTTTGTTCTGTTTTCTGCTGAAGGGTACACTCGGTTATGATCATTAGTCATTTGCAGCTCTCAGTTTTGATTCTGAATGTGTGATCATCTTTGCTCTGCCTTGGTCATGTACTGACTTTCCTTCTTTGCCTGGTCACTGGAAACGGGCTGCACGCTGCCCTCAGAATGTTGGTGCTGGAGGGCACTAAGTCATTTCATGGGCAAAAGGGGACATTAGAGGCAGGCCACGTGGAAGGGTGTCATGGAGTTTCCTTTAAGGAAATGAAAATGCTCTCTGTTTATAGTACTTTGCTTTTCATAATGGCAAATTATTCTGCTGATGCTGTGGCTTCCAAGTATACAGGTGTGGCTGAATTAACTTGGGTATGACACATAATTGCATTTCTCTTCCTGATGTTCAAGGCAAGTGGAACTTACTGTTATTTCTGGCTCTCTTTAGGGCCCCTGGTTATAGAATGCTCTCTCTTCTCTGAACTAAATTTTAAGAACCTTCAGCGACAAACACATCTGTGGCTCCGGTCACACATCCATATTGCAGTAGCAGAATCATTTATTCATTCGACGAACATTTGTTCCGGGCTGACTACTAGGCCTGTGCTGTGGATTGTGACTTCACATGCTGGCCTCGTCCTTTCTCTCGGG